TCCCTGTGAAATCAAAATGTTTGCGAAGCCTGGGGGCACCATACCCTATTATTTCATTGGGATGTTTGGGATTTCTGGGTCAAGAATCCCAGAACCCCTGTGATTTCATTTTGATGTTTGGGATCTTTTTGGATTTTCAATCCTCCAGTCCTGGGGCGCCCCGTCGTCGTTTGTTGTTTTCTCTGGGACTGAAAATCCCCAAAATCCAAAAACTGACATCACAGGGGTTCTGGGATTCTTGACCCGGAAATCCCAAACATCCGAATGAAATGACAGGGTTTGGTGCCCCCAGGCTTCGCACACATTGTGCTTTCACAAGGAACGCCGCCGCTCCCTCGAGTCCCCCCCCCTCTCTCTCTCATTTTTTTTTTTTTTTTTTTTTTTTCTCTCTCTCTCTGTCTCTCTCTCTCTCTCTCTCTCTCTCTCTCTCTTTTCTCTCTCTCTCTCTCTCTCTCTCTCTCTCTCTCTCTTTCTCGTGTTTTATTGTTTTAATTATGTTTTCTCTCTCTCTCTCTCTCTTTCTCTCTGCGTCTCCAGTTCTGGGAGCGGAGGAAGGGGCGCGAAAGACAACGTGGAAAGAAAAATGACGAAGAACGGGTGCTGGGGGGGGGCTGTCCATATATATATATATATATATATATATATATATATATATGTACAAGACTGCATTGGCGCTGCGCGCCGTGCACTTTGGTCCTTTGGAATTCGCACGCTAGCGGAGTGCGAGCGTGCATGCATGCGCACACGCATGCGTCTATGAATGCATAGTACATATATATATATATATATATATGTACGTTTGTATGGATATGTACATTTATATGCAAATGGTCTGTGTAACTATGTGCGCGCATACACATGCGTATATCAGGCGGCGGTGGCCTGACCAGTTGCGCGCGTCATCGCGCCACTACAAGGCGCGAGGGTCTCGGGCAAACGTGGCCAGACTACCATGGGACAATGCGTCGCCGAGGTCAGCGCTGCGAGGACGTCCCGGGCGAAAATGGCCTGAACACCTCCGCTCAGGGGAGGGCGTGTCCGAAGTTAGCCGCGCGAGGAAGTTTCGAGCGAGGAGTGGTCTGAACACCTCTGCCCAGGGCATCCTTGAATTTAGAATCGCGAGAAGTGGCGCGCGAAAGTGGCCGAATCACCACGGTGCAAGGCACCTCCGAAGTGAGACTTGCGAGAGCGTCTCAGACGACAGTGGCTGGAACACCTCAACTGAGAGCGTCTCGGGCCCCAGAGCTGCGACGATGTCTCAAGCGAAAACGGGGGGACCGATGCGAAGCAAGGCGCTTCTGAGGTCGGAGTTGCGAGCATATCTCTGGCGAAGCGGATTAGACTATTTTCCGTTATCTCCTCTTCCTCCTTCTCCTTTTCCTTTCCTTTCCTTTCCTCCTCCTCCTCTTCCTGTTCCTCCTCCTCTTCGTCTCCCCCCTCTCCGCTTCTTTGTTTGTCCATTCTCCCCATCCCTGGCGTCGCGGCGCGGTGCCGCTCGGCCTCTCTGCGAGTCAAGCGGCAAAGGGTGAGAGACCCCCCCCCCCGAATTAGGAACGGTTTTTCCCAAGCCGCCAAGGGGGCCCGAAGGTAGTGCAAGAGGCGGCGCAGGTTTTGAAATCCCCCAGGGGCTCCTCGGATTCGGCCGGCCCTCTCCGGTAAGGTAGGCAAGGGCACCGCGTCCAGGTGCTCAATCCCCCGTGTCCCCCTCCCCTCGTCTTCGTTCCCTCCTCAATGTCCCCCTCATCCTCGTCCTCGCCCCCCTTTTCCCCCTCCTCCTCCTCCTCCTCCCTCCCCCCTCCTTCTCCTCCCTTGATGCCCCCGCGTGGTTTTCGGGCCATGACTCGGGCCTCTGGGGGCCGTTCGCGACGACGAACAAGGCGACTACAAAGAGAAGGGATAATGAGAGGGGGAGACCGCTGTGTTGGGATCTCGTGGTGCGCCTCTCGGGGCCCTCTGGGAGGCAATTTTGAAGCCTCTTGGAGGTGTTTTGGGGTTCTTGGGATCTTTTTGGGGCCTCTTGGGGACCTCTTGGGGGCTCCTTGGGGCCTCTTGGGAGCCTCTTGGGACCTCATGGGGCTCTCTCCGGGCGTTTTGGGGCCCTCTCGCGGCGGAAAATTTAGTTTTTGAATTTTTGGGCGCCCTCTTGGGTCTCTCTTGGGGCCGTCTTGGTGCTCTCTTGGGCCGTCTTGGGCGCCTCTTGGGCGGTCTCGGAGCCCTCCTGGACCGTGTTGGGGCCTTTTTGGGGGTCTCTTGGGCAGTAGTGGGGCGATCTAGGGAGCCTCTGGGGCCATTGTGGAGCGTCGGGAAGCGGGAAAAGCGAGAAGGCCAAAAACATAGAAAAACACACACACACACACACACACAGGAAAATCAACAATTGTAGCCTCTCGGGGCTCTCTTGGGAGGCCTCTTGGGGGTCTGTGGGGGCGTCTTGGACGCGTATTGGGCAGTCTTGGGCCCAGATTGGGCGTTTTGGGCCGATCTTTGGGTGTCTCGGGGCCCACTTTGGCCGTCGTGTTTTTTTTTTTCGCGTCGCACTCGCAGGACAGACACGGAGCACTCTGCAGGAGCGCCCCAAAGGTTCGGGGAGGCCGAAATTCGTTTTGGGGGGGGGGCACCGTGTGCCGCTTTTCCGGGGTCCCCGGCCCTGTAAACATATAAACATAGGAATATGCATGCATGTATGTATGTATGTATGTATGTATGTATGTATGTATGTATGTATGTATGTATGTATGTACGTTCCAAGCTGCTCGGAAACGAAACGAGGAGGAGGAGGAGGAGGAGGGGGGGGAGGAGGAGGAGGAAGGAGGAGGAGGAGAGGAGTCAGGAGGAGGAGGAGGGGAGGGGGAGGGGGAGGAGGAGGAGGAGGGGGAGGAGGAGGAGGAGGAGGAGGAGGAGGAGGGGAAGGAGGAGGAGGAGGCACGACCAGATCGAAACGAGTGCGCAGAGCGAGCGACAAAGAAACGAAAAAGAGAAGGACAAGGCCGAGGGCGCGCAACTCGACGATTAAAGAGAGAAAGACAGCCCGAGACACCGCCTCAGACTACCGCAGACGAAGCCAGAAACAGGCATCGTCTGCGGGGAAGAGAGGGCGGGGCTCGCCCCGCCACTCGCCCGAGAGGGGGTCTTTACCTGCCTCAAGGGCCTTTAAATACGTGGCGTCTTTGCTGGATGCAATTCCCTCACACGGGCCCCACAAACGAGAACGAGGGGCCGACGGCTGGGCCCTGGCGCCGCAGCGGTGGCAGAATGCAAGGGTATCACCAGCAAGACTAATTTGATGCCCTCTCCAGAGGTCAGAGGGCGCTTGCAGG